TTGTTTGGCTAATTTCTTTCTATTTTTAGTAGAGACGGGGTCTCGCTCTTGCTCAGGCTGGTCTCGAACTCCTGAGCTCAAGCAATCCTCCCGCCTTGGCCTCCCAGAGTGCTAGGATTACAGGTGTGAGCCACCACGCCTGGCCCTCTAAAATGTTTTTAAACAGAAAAAGACTGCTAATGATTCAGTAACCCCAGTATTTTGTCTAGACCACAGTATTGGGATTCCCTATAGACAGCACATCTCTGGTTTCTGGGACACTGAATAAATACAGATGGTAATAATGATGCAACAATGATCCAAAGAAAGGTGCTGTAATGCCTTGCCTTTAGTCCCTTCCTAAGAGTAAAAATTGCTAGATGGAGAGGGAGGGAAGAAAGGAAGAGAGAGGTAGAAGAGGTACATTTGGAATGAGCATCTGAGGACAGAAGAGAATTCTCTCAACTATTGAAATCCTGCTCTGCCTTTGCCTTATACAGTTGGCTAATTCAAGCAAAGGTTCAACAAGCTTCAGTGAAAGAGTACAAAAAATCTATACCTAATACTCTGTATTCTATCATTACCAGAATACAAAAAGAATAAAACCACTAAGTTCAAAGGGAAGAAATAAATCAGCATCTCAATCTCTGTAAGACTTTCCCATCTATCATTCTCTGATAGGATAGTAGATGGTGAAGAGTCTCAGTGGCTTCCCTTTGTGGAAAAAACAGAATAAACCAGTAAGACTTTAAGTGGTTTCTTCATATCATATGTTCTATATGGAGTGGGATGAATATACCCGGCTTTGATGTGATAAGGGTAACTGAAAATTTCCATTTTTAAAATGCAGATACTTCATGTTTCCAATTATGTACAACTTCTGTCAGTTCATTTTCTGAGTTGGGTATAATCATAATTTGGCACCAGCGTGGAATCTTAGCAAGATTTCCATTGAGGCCCTGGGCAATGACGATTTCAAATGAAATCTCAAGTGGTTATTTGGGTATATTTCAGTAGCACCACTGACAACAAGCACTGATTATCTCAGGCAAGAGCAAAGTTTGAAAGACCTTCCCCTAGCTGACCATAGACATTAGGTATAAGCCCCCAGTGCATTTATGGTCTCCACAGTCTACTTTCCTGTTGTCTTTGTAGTCCTCTAGATATTTGTAACTGGTTTGACAACACCTTGTTTGATGATAATTTCATAGTCTGACATTTTTCCCTTCTGTAGAATTGGTAGCCACTAATTCGTAGGAGAGTATCCTTCAAAGTCTATGGACAGTTTTCTACTGTTGGACAGTTAGAATGGCATAAATGCCTCAAACACTGATATTTACTGATAAAAATTAGTTTCTTCCCAAAGGCTTTTGTGCTAGCCCCTTGTTATGATAGACAGATGCTCTCCTGGGATGAAGCCATGTGCATCTTCAGGTGTACATTGTAACTATCAACTGAGTACATTATTTTAATCATTTTGATGAATGGATGGAGCCATTCAGTCCTGGATTTGAGGACACTAATGAGTACTATTGTAAATTCTTGTATCCAGAGAAATGTTGCTGCATGTGTTTAGAATGTAAAACAATCCCCACATCACTGAGTTACCCACAATGCCACATGATGGCCACCATGACTGTTGCAGGCATTCATCTTAAGGAATATTCATTCAGATGTTCCTCCTCCAGGATCATCAGAGTTTTCAAATAGCAAGTGAGTTTTAATATACCTATTACGTGATTAGCAGCTAGGAAATCTTAAATAATTTCCTGATAATTCTATATAACTTTGTTGGTGAGAACTCTATGCTCATGTATGTTATGAATGGTTTCTATATCTGAAGCTGTTCTTTTGATTTCTAAGGCATGTAGTTAATGTGGCCTTTCTGGCTAAGGACTTTTCCTGGGCTATTAAATCATTTGTGCTCCTGAAGGGATTCATTGTAGATTCCACATACACATTATTCTGTGATTATTATCTAAAAAATTCCAAAAATTTCTTAGAAAGATAGATCAGCTCTATGATATAAACAACATGGTAATGCTATCATCAGACTTTTCCTTCTATTTGTAAAACTTACATTTCTTATCAGTTACTGATGGTATGTTTTTATGAGTTCTTTTTGAATAGAATAAATTCATGTTCTAATCTTAGATAAAGTAGGAACAGTGATGGGCCTTAAATATGGCATATGTTTGTGCCCCAGACTGTCAGGGCTTGGCATACTATCCATCAGGGCCCTTTAACTTGGTTCCTTGAAGGTAAAATGAAAACCTGCCAGTATGTAAATCCAAGGAAGCAAGGTGGTTGACATCTGACTCTTCATAGTGCTCCTGAGCAACCACTGACTTTTCCCTCTGAGACTTTTATGTCCATACTTTTAATTTAGAAGTTATTAACTAACATCTTAGTAGACACTCAACTGAGGACATGATCTTGTAGGAATGAAACAGAATAAAATGAGATGTGCTAGAGGAAGATGAAAGTACACTAATACGGTAGATGGTGGGTACCATTTTTATACATGCCTCAACTCTTTGTCCTGGAGGTTGTGTTAGCTACATGTGAGGTATGAGAAGGTGGGAAAGTCATGAGAATTAAACATTGAGTCTAGTGAACTTGTTACCATTAGTCTAAAATTTCTCAGAAAAGGTGAAATTTTAGTAGTCTAAGCATGTACTAATGAATAAACTCATTACTTATTAATGAATCAATTAATTTAATGAATGCCCATATAATGTGCTTAGGTATATTGCCAACTGGAAGGAAATTGCTACAAGCAACTCTTCAGCTAACTTTGAAGGTAGGTGATTTTTAGCAATACTTTATGGGAAATTCTCATGAACAAAAATGATACATTTCCCATATTTCTACGCATCTAACATTTAAATGTCCTGCACACTATATATATTTACATGAATTTTCCAAGTCATTTTTTACATTTATATATAGGATTGTTATTTGGAAATGGAAGGAAATTTTCTGTTTTATTTAGGGTTGAATAAAATGGTTTTAAAAGTATGAATCCTTTTAAAAAGTTAAATATCTTACGGTTTTAGTAATCACTTTTAGTGAGCAAACTTCACTTGGCAAAATAAATGCCTCAAAATGTTGAAAATATTTTTTAGTTTCTATGCCACTATTGTCCTGCCAGTGGCCAGAAATACTGAAAAGCTGAAAGTGATAGCCAGCATGTAGAAGAAGAATATCATTAGACCCTAGAAATGCCAGTAATTCTAACATAGCCAAAGCCTAACGTTGGTTATTGTGTGATCTGACTGTGTGACTTCTATCCTGCTAGCAGATATGAGAAGCAGTAAAGCAGACAGGTTAGGATTGTGCAGTCTTGATTCAGACTGCTGAGTTTGAGTTTTGGCTCCACTGTTAACTGGCTGTGTGATCTTGGGCAAATTACTAGCTCAGTTTTCTTATCAGTAAACTAAGAATAACAATAGTACCTGGCTCATAGGTTGTGGAGTAATAAGAGATAACACATGTAAAGAGCTTAGAATAGTGTCCGGCACATTATGCATATTCCATAAATACGAGCTATCATTAGCATTAACCTGTGCACTTATTTCCAACTCACTGCCACCCCAAGTTGCCTCACCCCTTTGCAGCCTTCTGCAATAGCCTTCAAACTGATGCTCCTCCAGTCCATTCTCCACACAACAGAGTGATCTGTTATTAAGTTAAATCAGCACAATTGAACCATTTCTATTAATTTAACAAACTCTAGAAATTTCAGTGTGGAAGTTCTGTCTTAAAGTACTTTATAAAATTAACTCACGTGATTTTTCAAAACAACCCAATGAGACAGGTTCTATTATTTGCATGTTACAGATGAACAGACAGAGAGAGGCTGTTCTTGCTCAAGGTCGCACAGTGGGTTCTCGTGAGGGCCAGCATTTGAATTGAGGCGGGCCAGCATTTGAATTGAGGCAGGCGAGCTCAGAACCCACGCTCTTAACCACAGCTACACTCTGCCGCCTCTCATAGCTTTCCCTCACACTTGGAATAAAATCCTAAATTTACCGTGGCCTTCTGCTTCTGGCTGTGGCCTGGGTTTCCACTCTTACACGTCCCACTCTCCCTGCCTCACTCACAGCACCCCACGTCACTGGCCTTGTGCTTATTCCTCAAACACACCATGCAGTTTCCCACTTCAGGGAGACTAATGGAGTTGATGGCCTCATCGAGAACAGCTTCAGGTAACTGTCTTCACTGAGGGCAGGAAGCTGTCTGTTTTGTTTGCTACTGAATCCCCAGTGTGTAGCACGTAGTAGGTTCTCAATAGCAAATCAAAGAATATAATGACAGGTACAAAAATGGAAACAGAGAATATATGTTACTGAGTTAAAAGATTACTGCAAAAAGAAAGATACAGGATGGTAGTTGGAAGGAGCATAAGAGCAAGTGAAAACTATTTTAAGTAGTGGGGATCTGCATAACTGAAGCCAGCGAAGGAGATACATCGAAGATGTTGGCATCGGAGAAGAGGAGAATGTGTCACTTCTTCAAGAAGCAAGAGAAAATCAAATCCAGAACAGATTTAGAAACTTCAGCTCTAGAAAGGGAAAAGGCGTCTCTTCCTTTGTGAATAAAGACCTGTTAGCTAATCGTTAATTATAGGGCACTAACTGAGTGCCAAACACTATGACAAGTCCTTTCATTTACCATCTCATTTAATTCTCACATGAATACGATTAGGTAGGTATTTTTACAGAGAACACCAAGACTTAGGTTAAATAACTTGTCCCAAATCACACTAGTTAGTAGCAGATTGAACCTCTAACCCATGTCCTGAAGAGCCTTTTGTGGAGGTAGATCATAATATATGAGAATGAAAATAGAATGAACTCAGAAATGTGGGGCATTTATGGTTTCAGATACCTGCTCTAAGGGTGGTAAAAACAAATGTGGAATAGACCTTACCTGGAACATAGCAGCATTTTGAATGAACCTGTATCTTATCACATCTGGCAGATTTCTAATCATTTGTCATTTCTCTTTAGGATTCAGGTTTACGCAAGCACAGAGAAATAGATATGACTATGAAGACATACCAGAGATGCAAATGGCGACAGCAGATAGTACTTACTATGAAAATCTTTATCAAAAACCATATTTAACTAGATTAACACCTGATTCCACTTATGGAATATAAAGTATTTTCTTTTGTGAGCTACAGCCCTTTAAGCCCTGCATCCATCAGTTTTAGCCAAGAGATAGCATATTCTGACTAGAATAAATTGTATATATATTCTGGGCACAGAACCTAGCCCAGTTAATTAAGCAAGATTGAACAGAAATAGAACACTGGAATGAATATAATGTCATGGAAAAGACAGAAATTATTCCTGGTATTCTGAGAAACTAATATTCTAACAACCACATTTAAATAAAGATACTGTATTTAGGAGCAAAAAACTTCAGATTGATTATTTTCCTTCTTTATTTGAGGCATTTAGTGCATTCGTGTAAGGCAGAGCTCTTGGTCCATCTATCCCATATCCAAATATGCCTTGCTTCCTCCTTCCCTCTTTCCCTCTTCCACTTGGCCTTATCCTTTCATTTTTCCGTTTTTCTCCACTATACTTTTTTTTTTTTGGAGACAGGGTGTCACTCTGTCACCCAGGCTGGAATGCACAGGCCCAATCATAGCTCACTACAGCCTCGAACTCCTGGCCTCAAGCGATCCTCCTGCCTTAGCCTCCCATATTTTATATTTATTTGTCATCAACAACACAAATTTTATGCTCCAAAAGAAATACACTAATCTATCAAAAATGGTTACATTTCATTTTCTTTTAAAGACAAATCAACTAAATTGATGGAAGAACTGGCTTTTCATGGATTATCTCATTTTCAAATTACTGATACAAATTTATCAGAGAATTATATATTTTACTCAACATCAAATAATCCATAAAAAGTTTCCAAGATAGATGCAATTCTTGTTCAATTTCCAAAAATAAATAGAGGCTAACTGAAAAGCATTTACATTCCTAGCTCTCTAAACATTAAAAAAAAGAAAATACAAAAAATTATCTCTTGGCTTTTGAATACTCCACTTAGTTATATATTTTCTGTTCCAACATTTTCTTAAATTCAAAAGATATTTACTTCCTAACAACATGACAAACAGAATCTTCACTTCATACCATTCAGTCTGCTTCCATGGCAACACTGCAGGATTCCTTGGCTTGCATAAGTCGCATTAGTTGACTGTGGAATTTCTCAATCCTATACACCAAACTAAATCATTTGTTACTTTAATACACAAACTCCTATCTGAATGCCTACATTTGAGAGCCACGCGTGCCTTCATGGGGTCAGCGAGGTAGAGCTTCTCAGCAGCGCAGCTGAACTCCTCCCAGGTTTGGTATTGTGGCATCGTGGCCCAGGGTGGAACAGGAGAGAGGCAAGACCACAGATCCAGGCCCATCTACCTACCTACCCACCTCCCGAGGATGCCAACTGATGCAGTGGTCCCAGCATCCCCTTCTGTGTATATTTCTTTGGCATTTCAAAACAAAACTTTCCAAATGACACCCCAGAGCCCTCAGCCAGTTCTACTGTATCAGCCGACGTCATGCAGAGGTAAAGCTCAAAGAGTTCACTATACTTACTTAAAAACGAAGCAAACAAAACCTGAATGCAACATGAAGGTGACTCAGAAACAGAGGCGGATTCACATTCAGGGTGAGCAGCGCAGAACTCAACAGTATTCTTCCTTTCAGGAGGAAATTTAGCTTATGGGAAATCCTTACAACCAAAATAAAGGGAACATTGTACCCAACTTTATTATTCAGGGAATAAAACTGATTTACTAAAAGTATCTTGCTAATGAATGTTTTCTTTGCACTGAAATAGGCAGTTGCAGTTGTCCTCTCAAGTCATTAAAACATAACCTGGTAGGAAATATGAGTTAAACACCTACTACCAGAATTTACACTAGGATACATAATATGGCTTAGAATTCTTGTTCAACAGAAAAAATAGGCAGTTGGTTCAAAGATACATTAGTTCCTTTCAATTCAATGTTATGTCATGAAAAGCAGAAAAGCACAAAGGATATAATTTCTTAAATCCAATGTTTTTAGTAGACTTTCTTTTAATATCAGAAAGCATCAAGTGATAGACTCCTTTTTAAAAGCAAAATTATCTTTATTTCTATAAAATTTAGAGAGACATTAACATCAGTGTATGTATACATTGCCAAAATATAGTAAGTGCCATTTCAGACAGAGGAGTTACAATCTTCACTGCTTCGTTAAAGCAAAAAATTTATTTTTTCTGGACTAGGGTAGTATATATTTTTCTGAATCCCTTTGGAATGGTGACTAAATTTACACAGAGGGAACTTCAATGAATTCTGAAAGGCAAAGATGCAGCAGTAATGAGAATCCAGTCATAATTAATAAGTTTATGTGACCTGAAAAACACTGATGTCTTGGTATGTGTCTAGGGTCAACTGAGTACTCTGGCCAGAATGGTCCAATGTTAGAAAAGAGAATCTCATACAATGAAAGTGAGCTGATGGTTCTTTTGATATAAGAATATTGACTACATCTCATTGTAGGATCACCATGAAAATATAATGCCTGTTTTCATCAATTTAGATGAATTATTTTTATATAGATTTGAATTCTCTTTTAATCCTATTTGTGCCATTTTTTTTCTTAATCTGTGTCTTGGTTAATAAATTTTAGAAAATAATCAAGAAAATGAAGACTTTCTATCTAAAACATAACTTGTTTAGTAAGATTAGAGAAAATGTAAAAGAAAAAAATTCTTTTTCTAAAAAGACTGACCATTGCCTCTGACTAAAATCTCCAAGCTCCAATTCAACATTATAGTCTATGAAATTTCCAATGTTAGGCAGAGATTTGGCGCATTAAGTAGAATAATTCTACAATGGGCAATGTTGCTGTGGTGGGATTATTACCTCTGCAGAATGGCATTTTATTTAACAGACACCATGGACTTCATAAAAATCCATTATCAATGCCTGAAAACCAAACAACTTTAAAAGTTAGCAGCAGTTCCTGCAAGTATAAAAATATACACTTATTACATAACACATGGTAGTAAATTTTGTCAAGATACATTATACAAACTCAAAGCATTTTAAATAAAGCAGTCTAATATAGATTGAGTACATTAAAATGGTATGCAATCTGTCTTCAAAGCATACAATAATACTTTACAACAGTGTTAAACTTCACATTAAGTATTACCAGAGTACATACGTAAGGGAACACAGAGTAGGAATAGTTATTAAAAGAAAACTCAGCAATATTTTCTTCTATGCTTCAAATTGGGTAGATGATTTTCTACCTGCCAATATTGAAAAAAATGCTAGAACTATTATTTTGGTAAACAGAGAAGCAATTTCTTCCAGAAAGACACTTGAGCCAAGCTCTAAGAGATTCATTGACATCTTTCAGGGTTTTTTTTTTTTTTTTTGGTCCCTTAGGAAGGATGCACATCTTGTAGTTCTGACACTGCTATACCCTAAGGGTAGGGGGTGGGGAGGTCCCTACTAACTTTATATATTACATCACAAAAGAGGCATATGGATACTTAAGGAGTCTTGATATATGGGAGTGGTTAGTTATAAGGTGACACTGACTTCATTTCCGTAACTGAGATGGCCAGTGTCATGAAGGAGCTCTATGGACATTGAGAGGAAAAAGTTGATTATCATCGTTAGGGTAAACAGGGCCATGCCCCCAAGAGGTAGGTAGCAACTGTGTAGCTAATACTGAAGTATTCATAACTTTTTCTATTAAAAAAAACATTTTCCCCTATAATTTTAGGACAACATGGAAAGAACATTTGACATGACAGTTTCCTGGTGACTGATAAGAAAACTAATTTAGAATAATCTCTTTTGTGGAAAAAAAGTCCATTTGATGGACTAAAGAGATCAAATGGGCTCTAAGCAACTTCTTATGGGTAAGCAGTTAATATGGAGGAACATACACATCCATTTTTAGTGCCATCCCTTCATGCTGGTTGGCAAGGCCTGACAGTCTATTCCTAGGTGAGGAGATATATTGTTGTACCCTTTAAGAGCCAAGAGAAAGGTCCATGGATATGAAATAAACTAATGGGGTATAAACCATCTATAAACCATGAACCATGGGACAAAAATACGGAGAAACTCCTGGAAGTAAGGAAATGTAGAGGACATTTTGTTTGGGAACGGTTTCTTGTTGTTTTTCTCAGAATATGCCTGTGGGCTTGAATGCGAGTCCAGGGCGCCCTGATCTGAAATCAGTAAGGGCTAGAGAGTTCAGGATGAAAACATCGGCTCTCCGGAGAGCAACAACAACGAAACAACAACGAATGGGACGTGTTGAGTCGGGAGAGTGTGGGAACAAAGAAATTGTGGTGGGACAGTTGCCAAACAGGCTGTGTTATAAATAAAGAAACTGCGGCAGAAAGGTGCTGCAGTCTTGTACCGTCTTTGTGTGTCTGTGTCTCTTTGTCTCTGTGTTCACTCCTCGTCCCTAGAAACGGGCCATGTCAAGTGGCACAGTGAGCAGGGTCTGCAACATTCGGGACTGAGGAACCGGAGTGGGACCTCTTCGGTATATGGTAAGTGGCAACCAACAGAGGACCTCTGGCATTATGGGGAATTCCCCTTCATCTGCTGAATGAGAATATCCAGTTAGTCCAGGGACTTTTACTTTGAAACAATTGTTTGACTTAGTGCAACAGCATTGTTACTGGTTTCAGTTTCAGTCCCAAGTTCAGTTAAATTTGCGCAGCTGGCAACAGGTTGTTAAAGCTTTCGTGTAGCCCACCAACGAGGCGACAGGATTAATTTAAAAATTTGGACTGTTTGTAGTGTCATAACACAAGCACTACAGCTATTGGAAACAGACTTGGAGAAAGCTGAGTCGCAGAATGGGGAGGAACTGAATCCCCCTCCCTGAGGAGATCCCAAAGGTGACTCCTCCAGTGGATAGTCAGGAAAAGGTTAACTCTTTATCCCCTAATACTGAAATAGCAGAACTTATTGCCTTATTAAAGAAGTGTTTACCCTCTATTGGGGGCCCCACAGCCCCGACAGCGCCCATGGCTTATCCTGTCTCACTGCCGCCCGCCGCTGCGCGTCCGCTGGCTGGACTGCGCGGCCACTCTGCCGGCCCT